ATGATAAAGATGACATAAACAAACAAACAAAAAACACAAACTCTATCTATGTTCTTGAATTATACATGAATGATATGAAATTATAATTCATATCTTATACAATCATTATATTGATTTGCAGTGATTCATAAATATTAATAAATCTTCAAATAAAACTCTTTAAAACATTTACATGGCAATTTAGGTGAGAAGCCAGAAGTCCTATTATAGTAAATAATATACAATGTGCATCAACCCAATATTTGGCATCTGCAGCAAGATGATAATGCAATGCGTTCTCAATCAAAACATGACACTTATTCCTAACATTTGCCAAAACTATTTCAAAACAATTTTAACCCAAAGCCGACAGGAAAATCTCACGCTCACTGTAGTATTGTTTTTGTGAAATGTACCAAGTTATTTCGGGCTTTTACTTAATTTTTATGCTGTAAATATCGATGCTGTTAATATCATTATTTGACATTTTCATCATTACAGCATTTGCAGAAAAGGTATGAATGTGAATAAATATTTTCACAGCACAAGAGCTAATTAATTATACCTCTTGACAGAAATGAATGATTACATGGTCTCACAAATACAGATAATTTACTTATATAATTATCTATTTATTCTTTGATCTATTAATTTAAATCAAAACTGTTCATACACATCACTTGCACTGCACTGTGAAGATATTCATCTTCATTCATAAAACTTCTACACATGTTGCAATGAACTTGGGTCACTATTACAGCATTATCAACAATATAAAATAATGTAAAAATATTTCTGAAAAACCAAGGAAATGGCTAAGCTGGTTAAATATGTCAGAATAGTGATTGACTATTTGGTGACTAAGCACTTGTGGAGCCATTTATGCACAAATACAATGAATAAACTAAACCCTCTGTGGGTATGGCATGCCATCCCTAGTGGCATCTGGTCATATATTCCTGATAATAGAAGAAAAAGAAGAAGAAGAAAAAAACTATCTTACTAAGGCTATTTCAAATTCACTGCATACACTCCCAATATTTCTCATGAAAAACTAGAAATGAATGCAAACATCTAGTTCCCATCCTATTAAAACACACTCGGACAATATGTAGTATAAGGTAGTGGCAGAGTTGGGTAATAAAACCTACATGAAATGATAGAACAGTACAAACCAAGACAAAGTTCTTCTATGGCAATATGTGTTTAAATGCTTCCCAAGGGTGCTAGGCATATATATTACCACGGGGGAATATATACCACGGTGTTGGGTTAGGTTGGATGTTGGGTTAGAACGTTTTGCTTAACAACCACGGGGGTCCTGCTTTACCTCATAATTTCATGCCCTCCCCTGCTATCGGGGCTATCAAATCAAGATTGTCGATGGAGATGGTGATCATATCTCCTCAACTATCCATTTGCACAAGGAACAATGCCTAGAATCATTGAAAGCAGTGGATTTCATGCGGAAAAATATCAAAATTGTTTCGAATGTAACCCACTACCCTCTTCTACATACTGACCGGGGGATCTTCTCATTTATGTATATCAGCCTTGGGAAGCATTTGTACACATATTGCCATAGAAGAACTTTGTCTTGGTTTGTATTGTTCTATCATTTCATATAGGTTTTATTACCCAACTCTTCCATTACTTTATACTACATACGGACTAATAATAATTTTCTCCATAGTCAATCGCCATCTCAAAACCCCTCTAATTTGCTACTGATGTATTCCTCATGACATCAAGTGTGCATTTACAGTGGTTTTAGTCAGCGGCTGGCAACAACAGCGACAATGCATGGTGGCATTCATGTCGTACTGTCTTTGTCAGGGGGATTGTGCTCCTAAAAATTCCTTATAGACTGCCATCTCCTAAACTGAACCTGGAATACCAAATCTACCACATATTCCCATTAGGTTTGAGTCCAGACAGGTGTGCATGAAGACACAACCCAGCTGAGTCGGAGGTAAACATGCCTAGCCTCGTATTTGGTACTTAGTTATTGTGCAAGTTTTGGGAGTTTTCAGATGATCCTATTGCACTTGTCTGGTAATTCAGCCGGCTATTATTCATAATCCTGGTCCTCAATCCTGAACAAAGAATAACTGGGGCCTAAACAGGTTTTCTTTGGAGGAAGTGAGCAAAGCAACTAAATAAAAGCTCCGAGATCTTTGCCCCTTAACATTATAAAATTACCTTTCAACGCAGTAGTTATAGCGGCATTTGTTACCGAGAGCAACGCGCCCTCCAGAGACGAAATCCTAAAACCAGGGCATCACGCAAACCCAGTATCCAAACCTATCCTTTCCCAGTCTCTTTATTCCCTAGACTGTAGCCTCTGAGCGGTGACAGGCAGCGGATATTAATGTCAATTTCGCTGTGAATCAGAGGCCAGAGTAACTGTAGCTGCCTTGTTTATTTTATTTTATCAATATTATCGTCAATTTCGTGGCGAGTATGAGGCTGGAGTTGCTGTACCTGCCTTGTTTATTTTACTATTTATTATTACTCTCTCTCGTGCTCAATTGGACAGCGGTCTTCCTTTCCCTCCATCTCTTGCATGTCGCTCCTGGCAACATTACCCGTTACAACGAGCGGAAATGTCTCTATTGCCAATGACACGACCGCACAGCCCTCCCCTGGCACCAATTTTCTCTCTCTCTCTCTCTCTCTCTCTCTCTCTCTCTCTCTCTCTCTCTCTCTCAAAACCCCAGCCTCGGACCCCAATCTCACGCCTGTTAATAAAAGACGCCGCTCAGCACACACTCCGGATCTACTGAGGAAGAACCAAGACACCCTCGGAAAACCACCGCAGGGACAGAAAACCCAAAATCAACTCCTTAAATAAGAAAGAATCGTCAAAGAATTCACGAATCAAAGAAACGCCCTCAAATAAGAAAGAATCGTCAAGGAAATCACGAATCAAAGAAACGCCCTCAAATAAGAAAGAATCGTCAAAGAATTCACGAATCAAAGAAACGCCCTCAAATAAGAAAGAATCGTCAAAGAATTCACGAATCAAAGAAACGCCCTCAAATAAGAAAGAATCGTCAAAGAATTCACGAATCAAAGAAACGCCCTCAAATAAGAAAGAATCGTCAAAGAATTCACGAATCAAAGAAACGCCCTCAAATAAGAAAGAATCGTCAAAGAATTCACGAATCAAAGAAACGCCCTCAAATAAGAAAGAATCGTCAAAGAATTCACGAATCAAAGAAACGCCCTCAAATAAGAAAGAATCGTCAAAGAATTCACGAATCAAAGAAACGCCCTCAAATAAGAAAGAATCGTCAAAGAATTCACGAATCAAAGAAACGCCCTCAAATAAGAAAGAATCGTCAAAGAATTCACGAATCAAAGAAACGCCCTCAAATAAGAAAGAATCGTCAAAGAATTCACGAATCAAAGAAACGCCCTCAAATAAGAAAGAATCGTCAAAGAATTCACGAATCAAAGAAACGCCCTCAAATAAGAAAGAATCGTCAAAGAATTCACGAA